GGGCTGGAAGGTCAGGGCTGTGGAACTGACTCTTAGGGGGCTGGCTTGATTGGCAGAAATCCTTTGGTGACATCTCAGAACGACTGCAACTGAGGGAACAACTACACTGTCGCAACTTTTCCTGGTTTCTGCACAACATCTATCCAGAGATGTTTGTTCCTGACCTGAATCCCACCTTCTACGGAGCTGTAAGTTTGAGAATCAATCCATCAGTACACTATCCGCAACCGTTTCTTTATACCCTCTACCCTCCTTTAACCAAGATACACACCAAGGGGCCCCTCTGGAGCTTCCTGGGGTAGCCCAAAACCTGCTAAGGGAAAAAAATAACCCATGAGCAGTGCTTCTCAAATGTTAATACACAAACCTAGCATTGGTGTCTCATACCCGTAATTCTAGCCAGTGAGGAGGCTGAGATCTAAGGATCAAGGTTTGAAGCCAGCCTGGGCAGGAAAGTCCTTGAGACTCTTATCTCTAACTAGCAAAAAGCCAAAAATGGGACTGTGGCTCAAGTATAGAGCATTAGCCTTGAGTGAAAAAGTTCAGGGACAGCGCTCAGGCCCTGAGTTCAAACCCCAGTACTGGCACACACCCAAAAATATTAATATGCATCAGAATCGGCAGGAAGACATGTTAAAACACTGCTGCATACACCCCCAGAGTTTCCCATCCAAAAGGGCTGGGGGAGGGAATGCAAAGTTCCAGGGACACTCATGGTCTGCTCCTAAGGGAACTCTTACATGTTGAGGGTTTCTTCCAGACATTTGGTATCCTGTAGGAATGCTCATCCTGCCCCGTAGTGGCTCCTGTTCTATCCTTCCAGCTTTGGGGGTTCTTTTTTATGCTGTCCCTCAGCTCTTTTTGTTCAAGGCTAGCACCCTACCACTTTGAGCCACAGCACCACTTCCAGTTTTCTGGTGGTTCATTGGAGATAAGAGTCTCATACACTTTCCTGCCCGGACTGGCTTTGAACCTCAAATCTCCGATCTCCGCCTTCTAAATAGCTAGGATTACAGGCATGAGCCACCAGCACCCGGCCCTGGAGTGGGGGCAGGTTTCTTTACCTTACTTTACTATTCACTTCAGGCATCCTGGTTAATGAACAGAGAAACGAGAATGTTTATTCCCATTGGGCCTCACACTGCAAACTAGGAAACTTCCAGCTAGGCCAACCCGGCTCCCCTCTGTGCTTACCACTCTGCAGATCAAGAACCTTGGCACCGAACAATGTCTGGACGTGGGGGAGAACAATCGCAGCGGTGGGAAGCCCCTCATTATGTACTTCTGCCACGGCCTTGGTGGCAATCAGGTACACAGCCCATGGGGCAGGCCAGGGTGGGAGTGTGGGGCGGAGGGGTGGGGGGAGCCTGTGGTTCCAAGCCTCCTCTCCTTCCCTGATCCTTCTCTATTGAAAACAGCCTGGGGGTGGGGGGAGGTACCAACCTTGGGAAGATGCCAGTATGAGAGGGAAGTATGGCACAGACAGATGAGGCCTGAAGTCTGGACTGAGGGGCAGAGCACTGGCATCCATGGTGGGAGCTGGATGGAAAGAGGGGGGAGCACAATTGAGAGAAAGTGGAGGCCAGCAGCAGGCTGCCGTTTCCTCATCTGCATGGCTTTTTCCATGGGAGGAGCATTGGGGCTTGAACTCAGGACCTAGGCACTGTCCCTGAGATTTTTAGTCCAAGGCTAGCATTCCACCACTTGAGCCATACTTCTACATCTGGCTTTTTTTTTTTTTTTTCTGGTTAATTGGAGTTAAGAGTATCATAGACTTTCCACCCTAGCTGACTTCAAACCTTGATCCTCAAATCTCAACCTCCCAGGTATCTAGGATTACAGGTGTGAGCCACTGGTGCCTATCTACAGTATATCTTCAGTGCCTAGAAACCCGCACTGGGATCCTACCCAATCACCTTCTGGCATCTCACCATTATTTGGTACCCCATACCCTACAATGCCCTAGCACCTCTCTGAGGAAAACCCCCATGCCAGCCTCCAATAAATAAGAGGCACCTCTTTTTCTTTTATTCTTCATAGTTCTGGTATTGAACCTGGGGCCTTGGGTATACTAAGCAAGCACACTTTCTACCAAGTTATATCCCCAGCCTAAGAGACTGTGTTAAATGGACATCCGAAGCAAGGAAAGGAATGGCTTGGGACACTGACACTAAATGGGCTGTGGTCATATGCATGAAGTCAGGGCTATTCAAAAGCTGCCTCTTGGGGCTGGGAAGGTGGCTCAGTGATAGAGTGCACGAGGCCCTGGGTTTGATTCCTCAGCACCACATAAGCAGAAAAAGCCAGAAGTGGTACTATGGCTCAAGTGGTAGACTACTAGCCTTGAGCTGAAGAGCTGAGGGACAGCGCCCAGGCCCAGAGTTCAGGCCCCATGACCAACCAAAAAAAAAAAGTTGTCTCTTCTATAGCACCACTGGCCTGTAAGCATATTTTAAATGATACATTAATGAACTATTTGTTTGTTTGTTGATTGGCCAGAGGCCTATAATTGGCCTATAATGCTTCTCATACAGCTGGTATGACAGAAGCATGCTTTTCCATCTAGCTATTGACTGAGATGAGGTCTCAGGAATTCTTTGCCCAGGCTGGCCTTGAGCCATGCTCCTCTTAATCTCCGCTTGCTGAGTAGCTAGAATTATAGATACGAGCCTCTCGTGCCTGACTTAAAAAAAAAAAAAAAAACTTTAAAAATTTTTGGGGGGGGGTTCTGGGGCTTGAACTCTGAGCCTGGGTACTGTCCCTCAGCTCTTCAGCTCAAGGCAAGCACTATACCACTTGAGACACAGTGCCATTTCCAGTTTTCTGATGGTTTATTGGAGATAAGAGTCTCACGGACTTTCCTGCCTGGGCTGGCTTTGAACTTTCCTGCCTGGACTGGCTTTGAACCGTGACCCTCAGATCTCAGCCTCTTGAGTAATTAGGATTACAAGCATGAGCACTGGCTCCCAGCTTAACTTTTTTTTTAAGCAGTACTGGGATTTGAAATCAGGGTGTTGGATTTGAACTAGTACTTGAGCCATCCTCAACCCTTCTAAACCTTATTTTTCAAATAAAGTCTTGTGGTTTTGCCTAAGCTGTCCTGGGCATGACACTCCTACCTCTGCCTCCTGTATAGCTGGGACTACAGTTATGTGCCACCATACCTAGCTTGTTGTGGGGATAGGTTTGTACTAATTATTTTGCCCAGGTTGGCCTCGAACAGAGATCTTTTCATCTCTGCCTCCTTGTGGCTTGGATTACAGGTCTGCACCACATACCCAGCAACATTTTTTCTTTTTCTTTTTTTTTTTTATTACTGTGAAAATACCATACAGAGGGGTTACAATTACATGGGCAAGATAATGAGTACATTTCTTTTTTTTTTTTTTTTTTTTTTTTTATGAGTACATTTCTTATCAAGCATTGTTGCCTCCTCCTTTTTTTCCCCTTTCCATCCCTTCCCCTCTCCACCCCACACCCCCACATCTCCCTACTACCACCTCACCCCCACCCCCACCAAAGTTGTAAAGTTTGTTTTTTTGACATAACGTCTTGTACATCTCATTGTTGTAATGGGTCCACCTGTATCCCTATTTAAACAGTTTGTTTTTTCCCTTCCCCTCCACAAATTATACCGACATCAAATACAGTGAAAGCAGGGGTTATACCATGGGGGAGGTACATACAAAGCAACAAAAAAATCATCTTATAAATATGTTGGAAACAATCACAGAAAGAAAAAAACATTTGAATCCTTATCTTGGGGTTCATTTCACCTAACATCAACTTGTCTGACAGTATCTGTTTGTCTCAGACATATACTAGTTATTGCAAATAAGGGGAACCATGGGACCTATATTTCTTTGGGCCTGACTTACTTCACTTAATATAATTTTTTTCCAAGTCTTTCCATTTCCTAATAAATGGGACAATGTCATTCTTTCTGATGGAGGCATAGAATTCCATTGTGTATACATACCACATTTTCTTGATCCATTCATCTACTGAGGGGCATCTGGGTTGGTTCCATGTCTTAGCTATGGTAAATAATGCTGCAATAAACATAGTTGTGCTGGTAGCTTTAGTATGGTCTTGTTTGTGATCATTTGGGTAAATGCCCAAAAGTGGGATTGCTGTGTCATAGGGGAGCTCTATGTGGAGTCTTTTGAGGAACCTTCACACTACTTTCCAAAGTGGTTGAACAAGTTTACACTCCCACCAACAATGCAGTAAGGTTCGCTTCTGTCCACATCCCCTCCAGCATGTGTTTTTATTAGAGTTCTTGATTATAGTCATTCTAACTGGGGTGAGGTGGAGTTGTTTTGATTTGCATTTCTTTTATGGCTAGGGAGGTTGAGCATTTCTGGATGTGTCTATTGGTCATCCTTTTCCTCTTCAGAGAAGTTTCTCTTTAAGTCTTTAGCCCACTTATTTATTGGGCAGTTGTTTCTTTGAGGGTTTGTTGTTGGGGGATTTAATTTTTTAGTTCTAGGTATATTTTAGATATGAGACCCTTGTCAGTTGTATGGCTAGTGAAGATCTCCCAATCTGTGGGCTTTCTATTGATCTTGCTAGCTATATCCTTTGCCATGCAGAAGCTCTGCAATTTCACGCAATCCCATTTGCCCAACCTTTCTTTGATTTGTTGTGTTTCTGGGTCTCTATTAAGAAAATTTCAGCAGGGCGCTGGTGGCTTACGCTTGTAATCCTAGCTACTCAGGAGGCTGAGATCTGAGGATCCCGGTTCAAAGCCAGCCTGGGCAGGAGAGACCGTGAGACTCCTATCTCCAATAAACCACCAGAAAACCAGAAGTGGCACTGTAGCTCAAGTGGTAGAGTGCTCGCCTTGAGCTGAAGAGCTGAGGGACAGCGCCCAGGCCCAGAGTTCAAGCCCCACGGCCGACAAAAAAAAAAAAAAGAAAATTTCGACCTGTGCCAAGGAGACCTTGGGTTTCTCCTATTCCATCCTGTAATGTTTTCAGAGTGTCTGCTTTGACTCCAAAAATACGGAATGCTTCATGAATTTGCGTGTCATCCTTGCGCAGAGGCGATGCTAATCTTCTCTGTATTGTTCCAATCTTAGTATATGAGCTGTTTAAGCGAGCACCCTTTTTTCTTCTAATAGTAATCTATTAGCAAAAGTAGAACTAGGAACTAGATAGAGTAGTATAGGCCTGTAATCCCAGGACTTGGGAGGCTAAAGCAGGAGGATTACAAATTTGAGGCCAGCCTGGGTTACATAGGATGATCCTCTCTCAAAACAAACAAACACATAAACACAAAAGTAAATCTACCATATCCAGCACATTATTCATAGAATGTGCTCCAAACAAGACTAAGGTAAATTCTAAGTTTTGTTATTTTAGAGAATATATATGCATGAAGTCTGCCAAGTTCTAGTGGTTCACACCTATAATCTTAGCTACTCAGGAGGCTGAGATCTGAGGATCTTGATTTGATGCCAGCCCAGGCAGACAAATCTTGGGACTCTTTTTTTTTTTTTTTTTTGGTCAGTCATGGGACTTGAACTCCAGGCCTGGACACTGTCCTTGAGCTCTTCAGCTCAAGGCAAGTGCTCTGCCACTTGAGCCACAGCTCCACTTCTGATTTTCTGGTGGTTAATTAGAGATAAGAATCTCACGGACTTTCCTGCCCGGGCTGGCTTTGAACCATGATCCTCAGATCTCAGCCTCTTGAGTAGCTAGGATTATAGGCATGAGCCACTGGCATGAGCCACTGGCACCCAGCTAATCTTAGGACTCTTATCCCCAAAACTAGCAAAAAGCCTAAAGTTGGAGGCATGACTCAGCTGGTAGAGCACCAGCCATGAGCAAGAGAGCTGAGCAAGCATGATGTCCTGAGTTCAAGTTCACACACACAAGAATGTATATGCCTATGAACTGTGATTCCAGGATAACCCAGATATGTTTTTTTTAAAAAAAAAAAAAACACACCTCTGAGGGTAACACATAAATCACTAAATACCTAGGCCTGGCCTCCCATGGCCCTCCTCCCCAGGAGTAACTAGGTGTAACTAGGTGGCTGTGGTGAGTGGCGGGCAGACTTCCCATCTGCTCTTCACCTCCTTGTCTTGACTTCCAGTACTTTGAGTACACAACCCAGAAGGATCTTCGTCACAATATCGCAAAGCAGCTGTGTCTACATGCCAGTGCTAGCACGCTGGGCCTCCGGAGTTGCCACTTCACTGGCAAGAACAGCCAAGTGCCCAAGGACGAGGAATGGGAATTCACTCAGGTGAGTCAAGAATCTGCCATCTTCTGCCTTGAGCCACCATGGAAAGATTAGGATGTTTTGAAAAGTGTGGGAGTGTAGGCTTGGCACAGCCGAGCTCTTAGGGTGGGAGTGACGTTTGGTGGTGGTTAGTCCCAGCTGAGTATGAAGATAGGACCTCTTGGGCACCGGTGGCTCATGCCTGTAATCCTAGCTACTCAGAAAGCTGAGATATGAGAGTCACAGTTCAAAGCCAGTCCATGAGATACTTATCTCCAATGAATATTTTTTAAGCCAGAAGTGGAGGTATAGCTCAAGGTAGAGTGCCAGTGTTGCGTGAAAAAGCCAAATGAGAGCGCAAGGACCTGAGTTCAAGCCCCAGTACCAACACATACACAAAAATAAATGAATATGACCACTGGTGGCTCACGCCTGTAATCCTAGCTGCTCAGGAGGCTGAGATCTGAGGATCACAGTTCAAAGCCAGCCCAGACAGGAAAGTCTTTGAGACTCTTATCTCCAATTAACCACCAGAAAAACTGGAAGTGGAACTGTGGCTCAAGGTGGTAGAGTGCTAGCCTTGAACAAAAGAGCTCAGGGGCAGTGTCCAGGCCCTGAGTTCAAGCCCCACAACTGACAAAAAAGAAAAATAAATTAAAATTATTTAATTAACATGGGACCAGTCCTGCCCTGGCATAACAGGCTGAATATACGTAGATGAGATGCAGGTGAAGCATCACCTACGACTTTGTCCACCTCTGTGCGCCAGGTGCGAAGCGCAGGGCTGGCTCTCATAGACTTAGTCTTCCTGAGGCTCTTTCCGAGTATACAATGTCGCTATTTCTGTACATATCTGAGCCAGATGAAGCGCCACAAATCTGTGACTGGCCTAAGATCCATCACCAAGAAATGGCAGTCTGAGACTTGAACCTATTCAAGTCTGACTTGAAAGCCTTGGTTCTTCCCATTGTACCACCACTGGGAAAGAGGAGCTTTAGGAAAGGGAAAAATGGAAGGATGAGCAAAGGCAGAAAATGGGGGGAGCGTTGGAGCCTAGGTCCTTCACGCTGGCCAGCTGTGGGAGGGGCAGCTCCTGAAAGCCGTTTTCTGGGAGTCTATTGCCTTGTTCTCCTGGATTCCAGCAACTCAGGCTTCCGCTGCACGTGGGAGTGAGCCCCAGATAGGGGGAAACTCAAGACTGCGTCTCCGCAGATGGGCACGCCCCAGGGAAGGAATTGCAAGGATCCTCTTTGTGCCTTGCTGCATTTCCTTTACCTTTTTGGGGTGTGTGGAGTCTTTTTTTTTTTTTTTGGGGGGTCCGGTCGTGGGGCCTGAACTCTGGGCCTAGGCACTGTCCCTCAGCTCTTCAGCTCAAGGCTAGAGCTCTACCACTTGAGCCACAGCGCCACTTCCGGCTTTTTTCTTATGTGGTGCTGAGGAATTGAACCCAGGGCCTCAGGCATGCAAGGTAAGCGCTCTACCACTGAGCCACCTTCCCAGCCCCGAGTCTTTTTTTTTTTTAATGAACATGCATTTGTGTTATGAGGAGCTTTCATGATCATATTTCTATATATGTCCACAGTATACTTTGAACAAATTTGCCCCCTCCATCATATTTCTATTCTTCCCCTTTCTTTCCTCCCCTTTTTTCTTTCTTTCTTCCGTTCTTTTTTTTTCCTTTCTTCTTTCTTTCTTCCTTTCTCTCTTTTCTCTCTTCTTTCTCTTCCTTTTTCTCCTTCCTTCCCTTTCCCCTTCTCTCTCTCTCTTTCTTTTTTCCTTCTTTCTTTCCTTCCAGTACTAGGGCTTAAACTCAAGGCCTTACACTCCTGCTTGGCTTCTTTGCTCAGGGAGACACTCAGCCACGTGAGCCCCACCTCCACTTCCAACTTTTTGCTGGTTAACTGAAGAGTCTTTTAGTCTTTCCTGCCTGGGCTGGCTTTGAACCATGGTCCTCAGATCTCAGCCTCCTGGTTATCAGGAGCCACCAGCACTTGGTTTCTTCCCCCTTTTCCAAATCGCACCTGTCGTCATCCTTTGCCTTTTGTCAGATATCCCCCATCTCATTGTCCCCCAATAACACTTAGAAGTCTTTGGCCACACTGACCCTTTTTCTGTGTTGTCTTTTAGGATCAACTGATTAGGAACTCAGGATCTGGTACCTGCCTGACATCCCAGGACAAAAAGCCAGCCATGGCACCCTGCAATCCAAGGGACCCACACCAGCTCTGGCTCTTTGTCTAGATGCCAGTTGTCCCCAGAGGGAAGGTCTCTCAGGAACTAGGCTTGCCAGACATCTGGGGACCTTATCACCAGCTCCTCTGTAGGCCTCCAAGATGGATTCCCAAGCCCACTGGATGTCAGCACAGGACCTTCTTGCTCCTTGCAACAACAGGGCTCATCTCACACTAATGGAAGGAGCTAGGGACACATGATACCTGGCCTAGCAACAGACCTCTAAAGCAAAGAAGGCAGCCAGGGACCATGGCTGCAGTGCCCAGGGCCCAGGGCAGTAATGCCAAGCTTAGGAAGATGACTAATACAGCCACGTCTCGAAGCCCCAGTCATCCAAGTGCCTACAGAATGGAGAAACAGATGTTCTCCAATAGACTGGAGGCCACAGGAGCCTCCCTTGCTAACACAGAGTGTGTGGAACTATGTTTGCATTTTTAGAAAGCATCCTGCCAGGTGTTCTTTATCTTCATTTGCACTCAGAAACCACCACATCCAAACTACAGATAAGAGAGCTGAGGCCTGGCTAGGGCCTAGCTCAGTGGAAGGAAGAAAGAATGGAAGGAAGGGAGGGAGAGGAGGGGAGAAGCATAGAGAGGTGAAGGAGCTTGTGTGTGGTTGCACAGCTGTTGTGTGTTGGTTGACGGCCCCTTCCACTGTGTTGGCTGGAGCTGGTGGTCTTCAGCACTGAACCAGGGCACCTGCCACAGCATAAGAACACTAGACAGCCACCAGCCTTGCCATTCCCTCTTCTTTCTCCCCATTCTGATCATTTCTCACTGCCTGGCCTCCATAAAGCCTAGAACTGGGTTGGCTGGTGGAAGGAGACCACACTGAGAATCCTGGGGTATTAGTGTTGAAGAAGCTCATGGAACCAGGGATTTTGTTTTTTGTGTGTTTGTTTTCAAGTTTCCATCCCAGGTCCTTTTAAGTGAGATTAAAAAGCACAGTGGCATGGGAGATCCAGGGAGTTCAAGAAGGTCTGTTAAGTATGGTTTGAAACTGTACTTTAGTCCAGTCCTTTCATTTCATATTCTGAAACTAAAGCCAGACCAATGAATTCACCCAGCACCACCCAGTCATGGGCCCAATAAGATATTGGCAGCCCAGAGGCTAGATCCCAGTTCAGGCTGTGTAGAGTCCCGGCAAGTCTGAGAAAGCAGAAACATGTGCTAAGAGGCATCCCTGAAGTCTTGGTGTTGAGCAGATCCAGGTCCAGAACTAGTTAGACCCCACCCACCCACACAGGGCTGGCTGCTTTGGGGTGGAAGGCTTTTCTGGATGCAATAGCAGGCTGTAGCCACAAGATGGTGTCATGGAACCACAGCTGCCTCTTTCCTGGAACCCAACACTGCAGAGGCCCCTTTGCCCCTGGAAGCTTTCCAGAAAAAGAGACATTCTGAAATGACCCAACCAGATCGGGATCTGAGGTGGTGAAAGGGAAAGGAATTGGGCATGGAAATAAAGGTTTTATGGCAATGGTAGAGGAAGTTGGGCTGAGTTCTGCCTTCCCTGTGTTGTCTATGAGCTGAAAAGCTTGGTCACAACCATGTCTCTTCTCCCCAAACCTCCTGTGGCCTCACATGGAGCCCCGTGCACTGGAGTCAAGCACCAGGACATGGAAGATGAGGTCCTTCCACCAGAAGT